CCCCCCCCCGATTACAGTCTGTGTGGCCCCCAAAGCTATTTTCCAGCCTTGTGAAGATAAGACCGTCCGACTAAAACCACATAACACTGCAGAACCAAATCACAGGTTCTGTCGCTTTGTTTGAATCGTCAGCACAGTTTCGTTAAAACTACAGTACATCTGCAAAAAACAGGAACATAAAAATAAGCCTCCATTGTGGTCACTTTTCTTTTTAACATTTTTTTAACATTCAAGCCTAATTTTTGCACAACTCAAAAACAATGTGTAGGCGGGTATTTTCAAAGGCTGGCCCCGATTTTCCACTCCTGAAATTCAACCCTGTACCTAACAACGCCCCGACTGCGTAGTGCACAGCTGGTCAAAATTCTGATTCTGTCTCCGCTCTGGAACAACACAGTTATGCACAGTGGCAAATTCACTTCAGAAGCGAACCGAAAATTAATCTGTCTCTTATGGCATGCCGATTCATACAGAAGGGTGGTGTTCTAAGATGTGGAAAAATACGCTATGTTACTTTTTCAAGTGGTCATGTGCTGTCTTTACTGATTCATTCCTTTCCAGTCACTGACACTAAATGTGACAAATAACAATTAATGGCCTATGGCAAGACACCAGCAGTCCTCAATAGCCTATAAGAAGACAGCTTGATGACTCATGAAGTTACGGAGCCACACTCCCTGCTTGCTCTTTTACCCTTGAGCAAAGTACTAAAACTGAATTGGTCCAGTAAATTCAGTAATGCAAAGGACACAAATAGTCCTTAATGGTCTATTGGGACAGGCCAAGCTGTTCCTTGGCTCGATCAGACACAGCAGCAATGAAATACAGAATGTCAAGAATATAAAGGTTGTTTCTCAGATTTTCATTATGTGACCTGAATGGATTCACATGTTTAGCAGTGCCCTGATTATAGTACTCTATGAGTATGGTGAAGCTATTCAGATCCATGCTTTGGAATGATAAGGAAGGGAAAGATCAAGGAGCCGATGACCTCGGCCGTCGCAGAGCCTCCCTGCCAGATTGGCTGGCTCTTTCCATACAGAGGTTGATCTCCAGTGTAGCATCTACAGCAGACCACTTCTTGCTTTTTTGTTTGCCATAATGCATTTGTATGATGACTCGGTACTTGGTTACAAAGGGGGACTGCAGGACCTGGAAGGCCTGAAGGAGGTTCAGACCCATGTCAGATCGCGTTACAGGCTGGGGTCTCCACCACGTCATGGAGATATGGGGTATTCCCAGAGGCCTCCTTCGCCCGGACGATACCCCAACAAGCCATGTCCAGCAAGGTCCCAGGAATCTTGATGCATCAGAGTCCAAGATGCTAGGATCTCCAGAAAAAGAAATGGCAGTGAATTGTAGATCCTCTGACCTGAAAATGGCTCATCTCAGCACATTTGCCCAGCACATAATTCAAAGTTTATACTGTCAAGTCAATATTATTAATGTGATTCATTCACTCTCCTTTGGTTCATTTTCTCAGTTGATTGTCCAAAGATGAGCCATTTGCCCTGATTCAAGTTATATGCGTTCAGAAAGTATTCTTTTTTAAAAGGGGGGCGGGGGGAGGGGGGTGTTACTCCTCAGTAAAGTCAGTGACTGGATTTTGTTTTGTTTTTCCTTCCAGAAGGTAGTGGCTGTAATACGATTTGCTCCTTCGAAATTGAGTTTACGGTGCCATCTGGTGGAGATTTGAAGCACACAGTAATGTCCTCGGGAAAAAAAAAAACTGATAACTTAACCTTGGTCTGTCACCTTTGGAGACTGTTGAAGCCTTTAGAAATTATTGTAGCAGCTACTCATGCGTGTGTTAAATGTTCCTTTCGGGAATTGCTTCCTCGAAGATATCCGTACACTGGCTTAAGCTTTGTTCTGTGCTTCTTCCGCAGTGTTCCAGAAGAAGATGTCTCAGGGGACCGTGGACACCCTTTATTCTCTACCCAGTAAACAAGGTCAGCATGAAAGCAGACTCACAGCGCGCCCAACCTGGCTGTGCACCTGAATACGGCTTGTGATGGGAGTCACACCCTGACGTACAAGCCTAGGATTGGTCGGTTTTTATAGGACATCAAATCTCTAGATAAAAGCCACACCGTGGAAAGTCTGCCTGTTGTAAACACACACACACACACACACACACGGTAGCTGACAGAGACATCAATGTGATGACATTGATCCTTAGGACAGATCGGCGATTTCCAATTTTCCCGCTTGCTTGAATCGGTTTACACGTCAAACATTTTTAGTTAAATTTAGACACACTTGGAATCACATTAGGGAATGCCAGCTAAAGTGACCAAGCCACACAAGAGCCTTCTTGCTGCAGTCTGTAGTGTTGTGACAACAGTGTTGTCTCTCGTTTCTCTTAGCCAGGGGCCGGGACATGTCCGCTACTTACGACACTTTTGCGCCCTACCAGCCGCCCGGCCTGGAGGGACTCATTGAGCTACAAGAACAGGTCAAGAAGGGCACCCTGTCTGTGGACGAAGCCTTGGAGAGGTTCAGCGACTGGCAGCAAGTCCAAAGAGGCCTGGATGAGATCCAGCAGGTGACACCTTTCCAGCATGACATTCTGACGGTCTTGCAGCTAGCAATGGAGTTAGGGTTAGGGTTAGGGTTAGGGTTAGGAGTTGTTATGGTAGCTAGGTGTAGACATGTTTGATGCCCTGAAACAAGGCGCAGTGACATTAAGGAATAAATGGATATGCAGTACTGTGCATGAGTTGTAGGCAGCCAAAGAAAATGATGTTTAAATGATCATCATGTTGGTGTAAAACTATGATGTTATGCCTGTCGAAGTGTGTCAGCTGAGCCACTTAAAAACCTCTGCTAAAGCCCCCCCCCAGGATTTGTGGTGACCGTCCAAAACACCCGTGTAGTTTTAGACTTCACCTCCAGCACACCCCGTACAGCTAATCAATATCTCATTGACCTTTTCAAACTAATTCAATGAATTGATTAAGTGAGCTAGAGGTGAAATTTAATAAATACGTGGAATGACTGAGATGCCCCTGACAGAAGGTTTGGGAACGGATGCGGTGCTCATATAGTCATTCAACTACATATCAGTAACTTTTTTTTTTTGAGAACAGAAGAGATCCTTTCTAGTTTTTGTCGTGTTACTCTCGATATTCACAAATTCTAATGCTAAATTGTGGTTTTTCCTCTGAGCAAAAGTGCACTTACTACCTGAATAAATGGCTTTAAACATTTCTTTTGGCTGCGTAAGACTTTTGCACAGTACTGTATATGACAAAAGGGATGACACTTGATTGGACAATACTTTTGAAACTACCTAAGAACTTGTCGCTATGATGCATTTTGTCCAAACTCATTACAGTGTTAGACACTCATATCTTTTAACCCTGCAAGCTGTAGCCAATTTTGCTACCCCAGGATGCTGCACTTCCACCCCCTTGTAAAACCCCCCTCTCTTCCCCCCCATCCTCTCTCAGGTGTCGCGTCTCACCCGTTATGACACATCATTTCCCATCAGGCCTTTCAGTAGATGTCATTTCCTGTTGATAGTCTCCTTCTCTTAGACAAATTATACTCTTCTATTTTTCACTCCTTTCCTGTTTTACTTTCATTCTCAGTGCACCTCAGCTGAATTATACCCTCTTTATGCTCTAGGCTTGCACTCTCTCTATCCATCTATTTCCAACATTTTAGTATTTTTTGCCCACTCGTTTAGTGGGTTACTATGAGATTTTGGTAACTGTCGGTCCCAACAGAATACATTTTAAGCAATGCTAACTTGGAGAGTTCCAGTGAAGTAAAATAGCTCTATGCAGCCTAGGCAGTGAGATTTATTTCTTATAATAAATGTCTAAGCCAATACTGGAATGACAACGGGAATATTTTGCAGGAGAAACTGCGGCAATTGAGAGCAAGCATTATGAACAACCGGGAGGATGATGAAAGCATCTATGGTAGGGTTGGTTGCTATGCATATGGCTGTGCACCTGAATACGGCTTGTGATGGGAGTCACACCCTGACGTACAAGCCTGGGATTGGTCGGTTTTTATAGGACATCAAATCTCTAGATAAAAGCCACACCGTGCTTTTTTTTATAAGTCTCACATGAATGGCAAGTCGATTGGTTTGGGCAAGGATAATCTCCAATCTCTGTATGTGTCGCATATTTGTATATGATCTGAAGCGGCTTTAGATCAGATCAGCAGTGAAAAATCGGCATATCGCTCAGTCCCCAGACTGGTCAAAGTTCCACTAAGCTCAGCTAATGTTGCAGAAGTAGGATTGGTATCAAAGTGACTTTGGGCTGGCGCCTGGCACCTTGGAGTTAAACCCACCTCTCTTCTCCCTGACAGATAAAATCAACATCATTCATCACACCCCAGGTGGGTCTTCTAGACGTGCTCGCCTCTGAATTCCAGGGGCGCTGAGCTTCTTGGAATGCTTTCATGTTCTTTATCAGTCTCCCAATTTTTTTTTTCTTCTGGACATTAAAAGTTACATTTCCAAGGTTGCTCTTAGAAACTGTGTATAGCTTTTGTACAGAACCTTAATGCATATGGTCTGCAGTCCACAGAGAACCTGCGTTCACCCAGAAGGGTCACATTATCCCATGAAGCAAGATTCTGCATGAGTTACTCTCCAAACAGCTCGTCATTGATGGCTGTAGTTTCTAATATGTGCATTCACTACTCGCGTCAGCAAGCCTGCAAGCCTACAGTGTAAACGGGTCAAATCTATAAGATACAGTACAGTTGCCCCCACAACTGTATAAACAAGTTTCACTCTCTTGGAGGAGGGCAGGTCATGAGAACGGAATGCAGAGTTGGGCAAAAGTTATTCTTTGGAAATACGGTGTCATTTTCTGAGGTGTCGACGAAGCAAATGCCGGCAAAGCGTAACTAAAATTTCTAAAAAGTATTTTTAGACCTGTTCCTGTTTTTTTTAGCTAATGAAAACTTCAGCTATGTTGACCTGGGTAGCGCAGAAATTTATGCCGTGCTGGCGGCTTTATATAATACCGTCCGTATGCTTCTTCATGCGAAAGCGTACCATTATTCTATCATCATTATATAATGTATATGCAGAAATTCACAAGGAATGATGTAAATAGCCTTTGTGCCAGGTTCATGGGTAGAGGTCTGTCACAGTCAAGCCACAGAACAGGAGGACTCACACAGACAAAGGGGAGCTGTCAGTGAAACTGCAGATGTAAAATATGCCACCTTAAATACTCAGAGAGAGTAAAATCAATTCACTAACCTAACAAACAGAACACATCGCTATGGGAACAGGCTGCCCCAGAGCCCCAATCAGCTGAAGCCACCCATTGGACACTATTTAAATACAGCAAGGTAATTAGTCCAATCAGAGTCAGCTGGGTTTCATTAAGGTGTGCTTAGGAATGGAATCACTTTCCATGGTGTTGAAAGAGATCATCGAAATTCAGCCCAGTACCATTCAGCAGTGAAATGATAAATATACATGTACCATTAAGTATTGTGCGTGCGGGATTCAGCTTCCAAGAGTCAAAGTGAATTGAATTAGCCTTATGTTGCCCCATTGGGGAATCTGTCTTTAGGAGACGCGAGTGCTGGAGATCGGGGTCAGCATGTGGACACGGGATTTTACAGCAAGCCAATCAAAGGGCAGCAGGTGAGTCTGAACGTCAACCTCTGTGACCAGCTCTCAGTTTCTGGTGTCTAAAAATCACTCCATAAAAAATATCCTGTCCATCGTATGTGACCTAGATAAAGCAATAGTGTGTACTTTTTAACATTCAGTGAATTTGCATGTTAGCAGTGACCGCATCTAATAACATATTTTGCATATTTTGACAGTCTAATTTCCCTTGGAAGGCTGACAAGCGGTAAATGTGAGTAGGAGTGGTTTCTCAACTTATCATATCAGAATGTTTTATGTCTGGGATAAGCTCCAAGCTACCCTGACCAGAAAAAAACAGTTTAGAAGATGGATGGATGGATGAATGGAGGGGTGATGGATGGATGGTTGATGAACGGAGGGGTGATGGATGGATGGAGGGGTGATGGATGGATGGATGGATGATGAATGGAGGGGTGATGGATGGATGGATGATGAATGATGAATGGAGGGATGATGGATGGATGGATGATGAATGATGAATGGAGGGGTGATGGATGGATGGAGGGGTGATGGATGGATGGATGGATGGATGGATGGAGGGGTGATGATGTATGGATGGATGGATGGATGGCTTCTTTACATTAGTTTGCATACCTCATGGCTTAGTCTCTGGGCCATATCCACTTTGATATTTCCATAATTTATTTCTTTGTTTCCATTATTTCTCATTGCAATTAATCAGCTTTTATTCATTTCTCCAACCATAAGTAATATTTTCATGGGATCTGTGTATGTCTGTAGCTGAGTTTCTAATAATCTTTTATTTTCTGCCTTTAACAGGTTTAAACTACTGATTGAATATGTTTACTGCCAGATTCCAGAAATTCAGTGCTGTACCGGAAAACTTACTGCTCATCTAACTGACCACAGGAATATTCAAGTTACTCAATAACTTTAGTGATTTAATAAACTTTGTTTCTTGTATTTCATTATCCATTCCATAATTTAACCTAATGAATGTTTTGTTGATTGTTTATTACCTAACACATTCAAACATAACTGATAATTGTTGATGTTTAGTGTACTGTGATTTTTCATTGGTGATCAAAATCTAATTAACACAACAAATTAAACACAATACAGACAAGCATCAGTATCAAAAGATTGCATATAATAACTTTAGTTTCTGTTTATGTTTGTTGTACTTTGATCCCATCATAAAAATGTATCTCTAGTGTATTTTTTGAGTGATTTCTGAATTATATCAAATAGGTGTTTGGATACACTTTCACATCAGAATACCACAAAAATATACCCACCAAACGTCACCAAGTATCATTTGAGCATGAACAACACAAATAAATGCATTTATTTTTGACAAAGAATTTCTGTTCAGATGTGCAAATATAAAACAGGCCAATTAAACTTAAATACATTAGGAATATAAAATGTCACGAAAAGTGAAAAGTACTGCAAGCACCACTGAGAGAATGGTCACTGCATAAAAAATAACATTGGTTGTTTTTTCATTCTTGACAATAGCTGTAACAGAATTTTTGAATATGTGCATTTTACAGCCATTGTAACCTCATGCTTAGCTATGAGCTTCAACTCTGAGATAAAGTGAATTTCCAAAGCTAAATCAATTCTTTTTTCCAGATGCGAAAGGTTACCTCAGTATTCTTCAGCACTTTACATCCACGCTGTAGAGGTTTGGTTTTGTGAAATGTCTGAATAGATTTGTCACTCAGAATTTGATACAAACCATTGTTTATCCTGAGAAATGTATATACTTTATAAATATTTGTCTCTTGTCCTTGAAGAAATGGTAATAATTCTTTGTGGGACACAGAGAATCGTCCCTAATCTGTCCTGCAGCTGTCAGCTGGAGTTAAAACTCAGCTGCTCAAACAAGCTGCTTTATCAAATGGCAAACAGATGCTGCTACAATCTTCCATTTAAAACCTTAAACACACACAAAGAATCACTCACAAACAAACACCGAGCATCACTGCATATCTCTGCTATCAGACAATAAATATGTTCTGAATTTCTGGCAAGAAGGACAGATAGACCCTTCATTTAGGAATCTGGGAAAAGTTATTACCTCATGTTTCAAATCATAGTCTGAGATCAATATGCATAATCGTGCCAGATATTAGCATATAGGTAGTGCATTCTCAGTGTTTATTTCTTTTCTTTATTTTTGACAGAACATATTCTGATTTTCGCTCATATCTAACATATAATGACTAATAAAAGGTTAGGGCTGTTACTGCAGCCACTATTACTTTCTGAAGCCAAAATTTGAAGGCTCATGAACAGTCTGTCCATACAAGCTCAGAGGTGTTCGGTAAAGTCCACGAGAACGTTCTAGAAGGCAGGCAATGCAGCCGTTTGAAAGTGCTGATGTCAGCAGTAGAGTCTTGCAGTACGGGCTTCACTCTATCGCTTTTCACCTTATTTCATATTTAAATGACGTATTTCACATTCTGGTTTTATTTTTTGCAAATATAAACAGCAGATAATTGTCTGTACTGTATTCACCTTTTTGTTCTGTGCGCATAGCTAATAAATTTAGCATATGTCTCAAAGTACTCCTGAGAGTACTTTGAGTGTAATTAAGGAGTCAGTCAGGGCCTCTATAATTACCACTGTTCTCTCGGATTCAGTGACTTCAGTCAAGCAGCGAAATGTCATCGATGTCCAGGCAGCGAAATCTTGGCACCTATACGCCAGAAAGCATTCTCAGTGACGTGAGTTTGTCCTCTATAAAAGCTGAATACCCACCTTATCCCCTCAACCGTACAAATATCTCAGGCCAAGTGTGAATCAATACCACATTTTCTGTGGTGTTACTTTTAACTTCATGTGGAACATTGCAACAAATCAGAAATGCCTCACTTGAGAGAAATGAATAAAATATTTAATTCAAACCCATTCCTCCTCTTATGTTTATTATGCATCATAAAATAATTTCTCCTTGAAACTCCCTGAAAATTTGAAACTCCATGAAATGAGAAATTGTGTTTTGTTGATTCTTGCTGGGCACACTGCTGAAAGCTGGATGGATGGATGGATGCGCGCATAAAGTTGGACACTAGAGGGCACTGTAAGACTCCATATAGGGGTGAAACCAAATAAACATACTTCTGAGCAAGATGTTGAAGATATTTCATGGACAAAAGGAGACTCACAAGACCAGCCTTTTCCAATATGCCTGCACATCTCCTAACAACTAAATTCAGCTTTTGTGTTCGCATATATAGGAGTGCCTTCAGAGGTGCTTTTTATTATTTTACCTCAAATAGAAATCTACAGCCCAAATTGTTAGGCACACAGCACCAACTGGAAGCCCTCTACTCGCTGCTTCAAGGAAAGCCAGCTGGACACATGGCAGTGTGCCATCGACGTATCCCCACTCGCTCTCATTGTGTCTTAGAAACGAGAGCATCAAATTGGCATCTGCTGCTTTTTATTTGAACCTGTCCTCCAGACTCGAATACTCCTGCTATTACTTAATTGATCTGTTTTCTTTTGCTGCAATGAATCTCCCCCTGAAATCCAACATTAAAGTCTGCCCTTCTTATATACTGTATGTATAACGGTACTTGTCGGATGTGCTTCATCACCATTAAAGAAATGTCAGAGATGTCAAAACGATGTATTTAATTAAGTAAGAGAGGGAGGGGGTTGGATTAAAATCCCACACGCAAACAATGCGCCGGGAACTGAATCGGACACATGCGCTTCAGAGGAATCGCTAGTGAAAAGCAAACACTACTGTGGTTAATCTGGACTCAGCAGGAGCAGGCGGGGGCAGAGTTAGGAGGAGAGATTCCCCCCCCACCCCCCATCCGTGTCCCCCCAACCCGACCTCCAGCATGAAACCCCCCTCCCCCCATTGCCCGGAACCTTCTCTGGCCCGGCGGGAAGATTACGAATTTCGCACAGCTGCACTCGATGTCCCTGATAAGGAATCGGGCAATTTCACAGTCGGTGGCATTCTTTCATCCCCTTAATCCGCCTGATATGTACAGTACCGACGGACCGGGCCGGCTGGAGGGCGGTGGACGGAGAGGGGGTTTGGGTTTCAGCGGAGAGGGTCTCCCACTACAGAAAGACAAATATTCTCCAGCAGAACCTTACTGTATATTTACGCCCCCCCCCCCCCTCCATACCTTGGAGGGCGCCGTTTAAGATACACCGGGCAGAAATCTGAGCATGGGAACGGCAAGTCCTAGGTGGAGTGCTTGCTTTCCTGTGGGATCGTACACTTCAGAGTAGACACCACCTGAAGGTTCTGGAAGCTCCGAGCTCCCACACGTGAACGCACCTTTCAGCTTTTCCCCCTGACTTGATCGGATTGGTATTAGGGCTCCGGGGCAACATGCTCAGGTAACCAGAAAGAATTTCCAGCAGAAACTTGATATACTTCGAGTCTTTCTGCTTGCTCTTCACATTCTGACACCCAGCCACACAGAATGAGGATATCTTAGATCTAACCTGGGAATCACATTTTTTCTTATAATTTTTCATTTTGGGGGGCATCGGATGACACGAGTGCGTCCATATGGAAAAAAAGGAGTACAGGCACCAAGGCTCAGCTGGCACAGCGGTGCGAGTCTACGGGATTTGTGCCATGGGTAACCCTTTAATCATCATCGTATTCCAGATGAAAATCCCTCGCCCCCCGAAAATATAGTTCCAGTCGCGATACCTGAGATATTTCTGAACCGGGCTGCACGTTTTACGCACATAATGCACTCTTGTGAGCCCAGGTTACGCCCAAAATATGAGCACTCTCCCAATCTCTGATTTTAAAAACTAACAATAGGCCCCTTTAATGCTTTCAAATATCTGTCACAAACCCTGGATGTGCAGAGCGGGCTGGAGGCAAAATGAGGGAATACACTCCCAACACGCCCAGCCGCGTTCAACCTCTTTTATCTCGCAAATTTAAGGCGAACAGTATTCCCAAGCTAGATCGCAACGTTGCCCTCCTTCGTGGTCAGATGTCATAATGAAAAGACACGACGCATTCCTCAGAATCGCAACATTTTAATGCAAACCACCAACGTACGCACCTGCCGGCAAACTTTGCCGTAAAATCTGCATATCAAATAAAAACTTGAAGAGTGAGGAAGCCTGGCAGTTAGTGTTTTATTTAGTTATTGCTGGCAGTCCTGTGGTCACATTAATCACCGGCTTCGGTTTGAAGGTGGACTGACAGAAGTGTTCAATGTTTATTGTAGCAGAGCCGGTTAACTTGCAAACAAGGCATATTCCAGCCCAATGCCCGTGTCTGTGGCAAGAAAACAGGTTGGGAATCACCGGTCGGAAGGATGTTTATTCAAGTGGAGCTACAAGCATTTAGCATATGATTCCTCACAAATAACTGAAGACTTTTATAAACGAATAAAGTGGCTTTTTGTCAGTGCCCCGGACAATAAGAAGGGTGCACGCTGCACCTTGTAATTACCATCGTGGTTTAATTGCCATTGTTGTGCAGCTCCTGCTCCAGTACTGCTTACACCAGTACCTGGGCATCCAGCTGCACTTATGCCTAGTCAACCCCTGTCTACTCAGGACCTGTCATATGCTATATTCCACAGTCAAGTTACTGAAAATCTTCTGCTGTTTTTAAAGAGGTGGGAAAAACAGCTAACAAATTAAAGGACGAAATTGCACGGTAAACACGAATCAGTGTGCGAATGAAGGAGGGGAATAAAATTTGCTGTGCAAACACAGCGGGCTCCGGGGCCCTGCGTGAGTCACAGAGGAGCTCTGTTCGGCCCTGAATGGGCCCCGCGAGGCGTGAGGCTCAGGGGTCGGGGGTCAGCCGCAGTGGGGTATGTCCGTCAGTCCGGCTTTTAATATTTACAGAAAGCCCTTTCAATGGGAAGTAATATTTACACAGGGGAACCGTAGGTCAGACGTCCGGAGTGTTATGAAACATGGCGGCCCACATTAGACGCGGCCGCCCGCGGAGGCCCGCAAGGTGAGATCTGAGAGCCGCCGCCTCCGAGTGCTGGAGCAATTAGATGTTTAATTGTCTTGAAATGTACAAAAGCAGCGCGGCCGTAAGCCCCCCCCCCCCTCCTTTCAGGTCCACCTACGACGGGCCAGGCTGGTGGTCCATCTGCACCAAAGCACAGTTAATCCTATCAGGCCGCGGACCCAGCAAGGCGTCCAACGAAATGCCCAGCAAGGGCGCAGGTCTCCTGCCGGCAAACGCC